CCAGCAACGATGAGAACTGGGTTCCTGAAAGAGATGACTCAGAGATCCCGGGGTGGCTTACCAAGCAAGGATACTCCGATGGCTAAGTTAGAGCATAGTGATAGTAGAGAGCTTGAAGATGATAATAATGAGAGAGCTTAGAGAGTGAAGATTACACACACAACAATAATAATAGAACGTACCTTCGCCCCTGGGGGGGCGGAGTCTTTTTATACTGTGGCCCAGGTGGGTTGGTGGAACGGTCACTGGATCCCTGCTGCGATGGGACTTGTTGCGTGTTAGGTGGATGAAACACTATCAAACGGTAATACTGTCACTTCCTGTCAGAACGGGGAGTTGGTGAACTAATGTTACCGTTATAAGTATGGTCCTACGGGATACAATGTATGGAGGTGTGTTCCTCGAGGTTGCCATGCAGAGGTCCGAATGCTAGGCGAGCTGCCTGTAGGATGTCGGGCTGCTTGATAGCGAGCTAATTGGTAGCGAGCTTCTCGATCTCGTGCTCAGGTCCGCCCCGGACAAGAATACCAAAGTGCCCTTGGACCAGGGTGATCCATCTGTCCAGGCTAGATTTGTAATGAACATGGTTCCGTTCGCCTGGTCGCGATCTGGTACCGGGACAATCTTAGTCCCGTAGTGACTTTAGTTTGGGGTACTTGGCGTACCCCAGCTCGCTTTGTGGCGAGTTGGTTTATGTTAAGTTGTCACCCGTGTTGAGTCACGTCCACGTGCCGATCTGATTACGTTGAGTTGTCGCTCACGCTGAGTCACTTCTACGTGTCTCCCTATCATGAGGTCGGGCCAAATTCTCCTTCATCAAGTAGCATTATTGCTATTACTATTATAATTTTTATTATTAGTTATATGAATTAATAAATTAAAATACATAATTTGTTAACTTTATTAATTAATATAAATTTTAAAATAACATTATAAAAATGAATTCTTTTTTGATAACCATATTACTTATATTAATTATAAATAAATATTATGAACATAGTAACAATTAATTATAGTAAGTTTACTAATACTTATAATATCTCACTATGAATACATTTTTAAATTTATAAAATATAAATTAAATAATCTTAATATTCTCATAATGAATACTTTGTGGAAAATATAATTAATTATAATTTACTATTTAAAGAATAACTATTTTTTAATTAGAAAAGTTATTACTTAATGGATATCAATAGTATATAAGCAACACTATTTAATAATAAGAAAACTAAAAAATACATAAATTAATATTTTTTCTAACAAAAAAWTTTTAATATATCATATTAGTAGGATTACTGATATTTCTATTATTTTTGTGATTACTTATATTAATTAATATAATTAAATAATTATTTATACTATTTATACTACTAAATTTCTTTATAAAATTAGTTATATAAATTAATTCATTTTTACTAGCCATAGTTACTTATATTAATTATAATTGTATATTATTAACAAAGTAACAATTAATTATGCTAGTTTTACTAATACTTCTATTATTTCACTATGAATACATTTTTAATGTATTCAAATTACAAAAAGTAATCTTTATATTCAAAATGAAATATGTTTGAATATATAATTTATTATAATTTCCTATTTAGACATACCCTACATATTTATCAACAATATTTTATTGATTCAACTTATTTATGTGTTATTAAAACAAATTACATATACATTAATGAAACAAGTACTTATTATTTTTATGCTACTTTCAAATTATATAAAATTCAATTTCAGGTATACCAACCTTACCAATTTATTTAATCTCTGTAAGAACATGATTTTGCTTTTATTGATTGTTAATTGTTTGACCTAGCAGTTATTTTATATTATTTAGATGTAATAGGTATATCTATATTATTGATATGTTATTTTCATGCACAGATGAAATGGATTTAAATGAAAGACAACGGGCCAAGGAGGCTAAAAATTAAAAAGAATTATTTTGATCCAACATAGAAATAGAAGAAAACAGATTGATGCCTCTGCTACTTCTAGTTGTAGACTATTTGCTCCTAATCATAACATTATTGGTATATATTTTGACTGTTCACATTAAAAATTAGTACACTTTTTTATTTATAGAATTGAACTAATAAAATATTTTTCAATAATTTTACAGGAACAAGCTAGGAATTCTCAAAATCACAGGAACTTTATATTTGTTGAACGTAGAAAGGAAGCAAACCAAGTTTTGGAGGATGATGCACATGGAACACAAATATTATTTACAATGTATTTAATATAACTACTTTTAATAAATTAATTACTGATTGATTAAGATATATAGGAGATGATAATAGGAGAAATGACCATTTGTCTTTAGATGAGACGATAGATAATGTAGAAGAAAGAGGATATGGTCATTTAGCTTTAAACGATATGTTTGATGATGAAGAGGAAAATGTCATTGAGGGCACTCAAAACAGTAAGTATTTTACAAAAATTAGATATATAGCCCATTTTAATAGTATTGATGTCCATTTAAAATATTTGAATTTTACTTTATAAGAAATATAAGAAAAATATGGGATTTTGGACCTCCTACTGAAGTATGTACTTACTATGGAGCAATTGTCTGGTATGAAGAAATGAATAAGAATGCCAGTAGAACTTTGACTCCCAAGTTTTCAATTTATTGCTAAGTTGGAAGAGTTAAGCTGCCATATCTACAAGAAACTCTCGAATTTTTTAAAGAGTTATTAGATTGTGAAGGACAAAACAGATCAAACAACTTTAGAGAGAACATTAGATATTATAACTCTTTATTTGCCTTTACTTCTACGGAAGGAAAATTTGATAAAAAGATCAATGATGGTAGGGGCCCTTATATATATATATATATATATATATATATTTACTTTATATTTGTTGATGTTGTAGATGAAATTAGTAAATTACATACCATATCTGATGAATAATCTATTCATAAACAAAACAGACAAACAGTGAAACAGAAGAGTATTGTTTTGAAAAATAACAGGTAATATTCAAGTCCTTATCTATTGTTATTAAAATCACTAATATTGAATTAAATTATTACAAGGGAAAATATATCAATATATCTTTATGGGGTGAAACAAAGATTTTAATTGAGAAAGATTAAAGAAATTTCAATGTAAATTTAATCATAGTCTCTTAAATTATTTTCCTTATCATTATAATTTTTATTATAATGTTGAATGTTAAATATTTTTATAGATGTTCAGATCTCTCATCAACAAGTGCAACAAAGTTACACATAAATTTGCAAAATGAATGTGTCACTAATTTCTTAGTGAGTATGATTTGTATATATTGTAAAATAAATTTATTATATTCATTGTTCAAATTAAATTAATTTTTTATAAATTTTTTGAACTATTTGATAGTGTTGAATCAAGTTCATTGTCAACAATTAGAAAAATACATATAACTGAGAATTATTCTTTACCATTAGAGGAGARAATTTTAAAAAATAGGAGGACCACTTCATAATTGTTTGAATTAAAGATAGATAGCACATTTAAGGTTTGCAAAAATGTTTATTTACATTAATGAATTAGAACTTATAATTATTTATTAACATATTATATTTATTGTTATAGGGCGCTATTTATACTTGCAAAGTACCCATAAATAAGGTTTTACGTGAATGTGGATGGTATTATATTGCATGTATTAAATGGGCAAAAAAAAAATTACAATACTCTACATCGCATTGCAACAAGTGTAATGTTAATGTTCCTAATCCTAAAGTAAGATAAATATTTAATTTTTTAACTATAATAATATATTTTCCAAATGTTAATCATTTGTTTTAATTTATTAGATTGAGGATCAAGGTGAAGGCGAAAGATGACACAAGTGTTACTACATTTGTTCTATTTAATAAAAAAGCTAACTTTTTAATCAAATGTCCAATATCACATTTGATGTACGTTTCACTTAAGGTAGTATTTTTTTCATAATTTTTAGATTCAATATTATCATATCATATGATATTTATTATAATTTCAATTCATTACAAGAAAATGGGGATGAATTATTGACTACATTTTTTTATGGAATAATTGGATTGACTGTTGTATTTCAAATTAAAATTTCATCATTATTTGCAATATCAAAATGCAAACCTGACAATTTCCAAAGTTTTTGCAGTTCACAATAGTATTAAAATTAAACAAAATACAAGTGAACATTTGACTATTTGATCAACTACTACAATTGAAAATCCTCTGAGAAAAAAAAAATTGTGCAGGATTAGATTCTAAGGTAAGATCTTATATTTTAATGATATTACATAGAATCAACTTTTACATGTTAAAGGAATATTAATACATTACACACCTATTATAACCAAGATATTGAAATAATCAAAACTTTGAAAGTGTAGAGATTGCAAATGGATTTGAAAATTATTATCATTGTTAAAGCAGCTAAAAGAAAATAATTTCATTAAAGCACAATCATATTTGTTAGTAAAAATAAGATACTACAAATGATTTTATTTTCTTTCATTATATGACAATTATTCTTCTTTCTTATCCACTGTGATTTTATTATTTTTAATATAGCTTTCATTAGACTATTTCATATATAAAATGTTTAACATTGTATATAAAGTTATTATTTCTTATCCACGAATTTATATAATTGGCATTATCAAATAGTTTCAAAATTTCTCTTCGATTAGTAAGGGGTCATTCACTAGTCTAACTTATATACTTAAAGCATTTCGGGGTGTACAATAACCCCCTTTGCATCCAACACGTGTCCTTCCTTACCCCTCTCTAAAACCTCCATCAAGCATGGCTTCCTCCACAAGCCTTTTTCTTACAACAGACGTAAAGCGAGCCTGATAACGTGTCGAAAAGTCCAAACTTGACGGCTACGACTGAAGAGGCAGAAGAGAGGAACGTTGATGAACTCTCTTCCAGGTACTTCGCATTCCCTTTATTTATTTATTTATTTTCTGGTTTCTAATTTTAGGGTCTGTGTTGGTTTGAATGGCTTCTCTTTCAACATGTGCTGCATTCAAATGACAACATGTATCCCTCCTCCATATCTCTCTTGGCTCACCCTTCCCCTCATCGGCTCTCTCTCTCCTCCATATTTTCACAGACCTCCTTTGTCTCTCTCTAGACTTCACCCGAGGAGAAGCTTGTCTCCCTTGACTGTCTTTCCCTCTCTCTTCACAGACCCGAGAGGTCTCAGGTTTACCTGCCTCTTCACCGACGATGGGGTATCCCAACACTGAGATTGACCCACCTGTAGATGTGATAAGACCCGACGCTGAGTAACCCAACGTGAACTACGACCCTTGTGGCACGTGTTCCACTATGATCTTGAACCCATTGCTCACGTTAAACGGTTGCCATGCTGAGGAAGCCATGAGTTTGCTCATCTGTTGAGAGAAGCTTAAAGCTTTCCAAGGTCACAAGGGATATCTTCATTTATTGAGGCGAGGGATTTTTTCGTCTGTTGAGGCATTGTTGTTCGATAGTAGCTAATCTTGGCCTCTGTAATCAAGTATTCACCTGTAGATGTGATAAGACCCGACGCTAAGTGACCCAGCGTGAACTATGACCCTTGTGGCATGTGTTCCATTGTGATCTCGAACCCATTGCTCATATTAAATGGTTCCCTTTGCCGAGGAAGCCATGGGTTTGTTCTTTTGTTGAGAGAAGCTTGAAGCTTTCCAAGGTTGCGAGGGATATCTTCATTTACAGAGGTGAGGGATTTCTTCGTCTATTAAGGCATTGTTGTTCGACGGTAGCTAATCTTGGCCTTTGTAGTCAGATATTTTCCTGTGTCGCCTTCTTCTTCTTTGAGGTTGTTTTGAGTATCCACTTCAAGGATGTCGGTCATTTGGAATAAGCTTTATGGTTATGTTTATTATGTTTTCTACAAATCTGCTTTAGAGTTTTTCTATTCAGCAACAATGGAGTATCGTTCCTCTCCTTCTTCTTCGTTGTTCTCTTTCTATTAGGGTTCTCTAATCTCTCATTGTTTTTCGGTGATGTTTGCAGTGCAAGGTCTGTGGAAGTTTCGATTTCGAGGTTGTGCATCACCTTCTTGAGATCTCTTAGAGAGATTATGGTATGCTTTTTGCTCTTTTATTCTTTGTTCATCAAGTAAGATGAGTCCCCCCTTTGGTTTTCATAGGTTCGAAGGTTCAAGGTTTCTCTCCAGCAGTTCAAGCTCTGTGAAAAGATAGGGATGAAGACAAGGCTTCTTCTCTTTGATTAGCCACAGGTTCATAGTTTCAATGTTAGGGTTTTTCTCTACTGGTTCAATCTAGGTCTGGGTTGCAAGAGCAGTTTGTTCAAGGGGTTTCTTTCTGAGTTCTTCTTGGGTGATTTTCTTGCCTCATCTCTTTCTCTCTCTGTTCGAGAGAAGTGATTTTCTCTCTAGGTTGAAGGAGTGATTTCCTCTCTCCTTCGTATCTCCATTGTCATTGTCCTATCACTATAAAGGATTTCTTCTCAATCAATGTCTTCTTTGTCACTGAAAGTGATTTTGAGCTACCCTAAAACTGATTTCCAAGGGTTTTGTGGATATTTTTTTCTTTGTTGGGGTTTAACGATGGAGGGTTCATCCTTTTTTTGGAGAGCAACAAACCCAAATCCATGCCATCGGAGAGCAACAACAACAAGCCATAATAAATTCTTGATATGGGGGTTGCCTTGGTAGAGTTCTTCTTCTTCCTTCATTTTGGGACAAAGCTCCCAACCTATGTTTTTGTTTGAGGTGGAGTAGGAATTAGTATGGTTTTGTTCTTTGTTTTTCCCTTTTCCACTTGGGCTTCGAGTTCATTGCTTTGGCTATAGTGCAGTGGACATTTTTCCATTGGTGATAATCGTTAAAAAATCAAATGTCATGAATGCATTCATGATTATTTATCTTTGAGTTTCAAAAAGTGTGCGACAATTATCATAATTTTTTTTGTCAATTTGTTATTCACTGAGCATTACTAGAAAATGCTCTTCTTAGTGAGGCTAAAGTAACCACATAACTTGGGACCTCCTTGACGTATATGATATCAGATGAAATAAATGAATAATCGAACAACTGTTTTATAAAAAATCTTAGTATATGGACCTGGTTGTCACATCCTGAGTCTAAGGTCTCACTGTAGAAAAATTGGTACATCGCTTATACTTTGTATTCATCACTTTCTAGAATTATTTTCTTACTATGCCTTTTTAGTTTGTGATTATATGTAGAAAGAAAATAAAGTTTTAGTTCACTTTATTATGGTTATGGTTTTGATTTTATAGGGATTTGGTTTTGGGTTGCTATAGTGATTATATGAATAGATCAATTATTGTTTTTAAATTATTTTCTTCAGCCATATTGGCACCTTTCTAACACTAGTTCATTCTTATTTTGTATTTGAAGTGGAAATCTGAGTGAACCATTATCAAATATTGATGTTGATGTGTCTCTATATGGATATACAACTTTTCATTCCCTTTCTATTTTATTTCAAAAGGCTTGAGGTTGTAGTATACCACCATCAAAACGTGATCTTTATGTATCTCTATATCAATTTGTAACAACTTCATTATGTATCAATTTGTGGCTACTTCAAAAGAAAATGATATCTCATACAAGTCTTTACATATAATATCTAAACAATGAATATGAATTTATATGACTTTTGGCATTATATTTTCAAAATTGTTTTTGAGAAGTTATATGTCTTTTGAGAAGATAGAGATGAGCAACTTTTACTCTGAAAATTGAAGTGTGAGTTGGAGTAATCATGTCAACTATTATTTTCAGGCTTTGATCCATGGATTGAATAGGCATTACTACTCAATACCCATAGGAAGAATGAAATTGATGACAAAATGTTATTTAACTTATAGAAGTGGATTGGTAGACTGACACTATAGCAATTGGCAGAGATCCCAACTTTACCAAAACTAATGAGTAAATTGTTCAAGTAAGGGGAGGTTTCCTCTCCTGGCTTCGTTCTCTTTTGCTCCACTGCTATCATATGTACCATGCATAGTTTTTGTACTAATTGTTAACTCTTGACATCTGTTTAGCAGGGTACTATGGGAAGAAATGAATTTATTAGATAATAAGATGCACATGTCAGAGGCTCCTATCTATTACATCTTATAGAATCAAAATTTTTTTCCATAGATTTTTGGAAGATCTACTTTGACACCCCTCTTATGATTCACTTCGTTGTGTGATGAGTAGGATATGTCAAATTTGGCAATCAAATACAATAAGGTGGTTTAGGAGGAAGATGAGCTGCAACCAGAGAAGATATCTATTGGTTGCAAATGTTGGTAGAGAAGATGCCAAGAAGCATCTGGAAGAACATGTCTCTAACTTGATGTCATCAAATGTAATTCAGACTATAACCATGTTAAACAATTGTACAAGTTAAAAAATTCTTTGTCTATCACAAGATGAGTGACGATCGAATTAACAAGAAGGTTTACATAAAATGATACTTAAAAAACCTAACTCAAAAAGTTGTTTCATAATACTTAAGAACGAGCAAGTAAATTACATTGTTGTTGTTTATAAATTTTATTCACATCTTCCGTTGTGTGGATATAGTGGACTGATTGTAAGAATAAGTGCATGCAATATTATACAATAAACTTATTACTATGAAGACCTAAATATAACGTCCTTTTGGATATTTCAAAATTTAAGAATGACCAATTAAATCACATTGTTATTGTGTGTTATACAACTAATTGGTCCCTAATTTTAATAAAAATAACTAAGCGCTATTGAAACATTGTAATTTTAATTGCTATTGTATTACTTGCTATTTAAAATTGAATACTTGAAAGGGGTTTATTGGCATATTGCGATTTTATTACCTACCATTTGACTATTAAAATTTCCCTTATTTCTTTAAATTGTTCTATTACTACTCAAATCGTGTAAAAAGACTTGTCCATATCCATGTACAACTAGGGTTTCAATAGACCGGTGTTGGGTTGGACCTTGACCAAATCAAAAATCAATTTGGACAACTTGGACACCTCCTAGCTTATGCACCTTCATAATAAAATTTTGCAAGAAAAACTTGTATTATTCACATAAATTACAAATCGATTTCACATTGATGGTTTGTCCCTTACCTATATTCATGCCTTTGACAATAGACCCCTTGTACTAGATAACTGTTTGTACTTGGATGAATTATTCTTTAGATAGTCCAATATTTTTTTTTTCAATTTCACATTTGAATTTGATCATCTATGAAATCATTCTTTATTTTAAATGAAAGAAAATATAAATAGATTTTTTCTAATAATTATACATTTTTTATCTTTTTAAAGTACATAACATAATTTGATTAGGTAAATGTAAATAACTTGTAACTGACACTCTTCTCGCCCATGCTTAGCACGGGCTCCCTCCGCTATATTAGTTAGGTTGCAATTATTTCTTTTTATAATGAATAATCTATCTTTATCCTTCAAAAATTTGTAACTGACACCTCTTTGTATTTCTGTTACGAATAATTAAGAATTGGGACTATCACTATCAATTTTCTTCATTTTTTACTCTCCCAATTATTCATTCTTAGCATGGGTGCCCCTCGCCAGTATAAATTACAACTAAAAAAAAATTTTACACATTACCTTCAATTATATTATAATAATAAATAAACACGTGGCCAAGGATATATTATGGAATCGCAATTCCAAGCATATTAAGTAATGTTATCACTTAATAAGATTTATTTCAAGAAAATAATATACTTTTTCACATAAATAGATACAAATATGCATCGTATTTTGATATTAGTGTATCCTACAGAAAAAATGATTTTCAAATAGCTCATTTACTTGGACAAATAATACCCTCCTAAAACTAACCTAGTTCATTTATTCATCCACACATGAATTTGCTAATGCATAATGAGACAATAATTTCATTTTAATAGTTATTTTTTAGATAAAATGATCATTGTACAACTTACCCAATGGATAAAAGAATACTGATACTTATTTAGGCAAGTGTTTCTACTGAGATAAATAATGCTTTAATAACAAAGTTATAAGATGTTTTAAGCAAACAATAAAAAAAGTAAATAAACAAATAATAACGTTATAAATATTAGACTATAAAATGTAAATATCTTACTAAAATAAAGAAAATATTTTCTAAAAAACATACCATTTTTTTACTTAAAACTGTTAGGTGTTTTTCAATAACATGTTAGCAAAGCATTACTAACATTGATATAAAAATGAGAAAACACCAAAAAATATGTTTTCTCAAACCATGGTTTTCTTAATTTTTATTATGTTATTTACGAAAATGTTTTTTTTTTCTAAAAAAATGCTCAACCAAACAAATATTGTTTCATAACACCAAATCTCTTAAGTGACACCAATTTTTAATAAATAAGATTGATTTAAAATATGTCATTAATTAACCCTTGATATTATTTCAGTTTAATTCCCACACATTAGTACACAATAGAAAGATCAATCTTTCATACAATCACTCAACCAAAACCATCTTAAACTCAGAACAAATTGGTACTACATATACTACATCATCTTTAAAAATATGATTGTTTTACCCCACTTAATACTCTTACACACATTTTATAATGTTACTTTCATGTTTTATAAGATATGTTTATCATTAAAGACTTTAACAATATTAAAGATGTCATTATGACGTATTGCTTTATAATTCGCTTATTGTATTTGAATTATAGTATCTTATAAAGTATTTAACTACAAAAAAAAATTAAAATTTTAAAACTAAATTATATCAATATTTTAATCAATTAAATAATCCTGTTAAAAGCATCATATAAGTACCTATTGTTCATTAATTCACATTAAAGATATCACATGGTCCACTTACTTTTCATTGGTTAGTATTTCACAAAGGTTACTTTTATATTTCACAAAATGTACTTATCATTATAGGTTTAAACAATATTAAGTTAATTATAATGTATTATTTTATTATTCGCATATTTACTAATACTAGCAATATTTGGCATAACATATGAACATGACTCAAATACAAAACAAAATTAGTTAGTGGGTTTGGATTCATCTTAATTGTTTGATACAATACATGAATATAACTAAAATATAAAATAAAGTTAGTGGGTTTGGATTCATCTTAATTGTTTGACACAATACATGAATATAACTAAAATACAAAACAAAGTTAGTGAGTTTTTATATCAACTTGTATAATATAATTAATAAATGCATCAATTTCAAATCGATTCACCTAACTTAAAAATTACTTATTTATGCCCCAAAGTTTTTATTAGATAATGTGTGGATGGGTGTGTGTGTGTGTTATACCATAATAGTATAATAGAATGTAAGTATGACATTGGATAGTCTTTATAAATTTATTTAGGTAATGAATTATTAAATATTTATTTTATTATTTAAATTTATTTATTATTAAAGATTAATCATTTTTATTTTATGTTATATGGATCGTATTATATTAAATATATAATAAATAGATCATGTATGTTAAAAAAATTGACACGATTAATTAATCGTGCCATGTTCATGTGGACCCATATATTCAAATATTTCTACCTCCACATAACACAAGAACACAAATTAGCACCCCTATTATTTATATTTGATTTATGGTGTAACAATTTTTATAAAATGCACTATAATTTTGCCTTAAATCGATTTGGAGAAATCAAGATATGTCTCTAATTAAAAAATGGGTAAAAGATGTCAACATACCATAATTCCATTTAATTATAAAGATTTGATTTATTAAATCTTGTTACATTCCCTTAAATAAGATCAATCTTATAAAGTCCACAACTTAGGCCCCATTTAGCATCATTCCAAAGTAACATATTTCTTGCTCCTTGCATTTTCCAAAAGAAAAACAGGTTTGGAGGTTAAAATTACAAGAAACATTTTATTATTCTCATTCTAAAATAAGCTTCTTACGATGAGTTAAGAAATAACAAAAACCTCATTTCTAAGAAATCAGAATTTATGAACATGTGTGTTTCACATTGTCTCGTCTCTTAAGTTTTACGAACACATATAAGGAGAATCCATGTTAGAGGCAATTTACATTGTTTATTTCAAGAAAAAAAAACATTACAACTAAAAAAAAGATTAGGGCATAAGAAGGAGTGGATTCAAGCCAAGCCAAGCCAAATGTTTGGCTATTTGAGCTTGGCTCATCAAAAAGCCATGATGCTTGAACTCAGTTAGAGCTAGAGAGTTGAGCTCAAGTTCGGTTTGACTCAAAAGCTTACAAGCTTGAGCTTAATTGTAAGCTAAGCTTCCTATAAAATTAAAAAATATATATAAATATAAAATATTATTTTTATTTTACATATAAAAAAAATTAAGACTTAAAACATTAATCTTGGCCAAAATAAGAGATTTTTCATTGTAAATTCCTTTCTTCTTCATGGGAGAAATGGAACGATTTATCTTTACCAAAATCACTGGTTTAATGAGTTTATGAAAATGCTGTCATTCCTCTTCTTCTTCTTCTTCTTGCAGAAGCATGATAAAAAGCATCTATAGAATAGAAGTATTTTCCTCATGATCATTTTTCCAAATAGATACTTGTTTCTTACGAATAATAAATAAGAGAATTATTCTGAAATAGGAATTTCCTTAAGTTGTGTTTGGAAACAATGCAAATGCCAAATCGATGCTATTATGCACCTCAATTTGGTTTTTGCACCATTTGGTTAGAGCATGAGAATGCTTCGATTAAAGAGGTAAAACTACACACTCTCAAAGATTACCTCGATTTACAGCATAATGTTTACATTTCCCCTCTTCCATTGAAGGAAACAAGTAACCCATTTCCCCCTCTACTTCTTCGTGTTACTTCACTGGCCATTGACTACTTGATCTACTGAACATGCCACCAATGATTTCTGGAAACAACCATGGTTTTCAAAACCGGACCGGAAAAATTGGGAACCAGTCAGGTGACTGATTTTGTTTTCCCCAAAACCGGATTTTTGCCAAAAAAATGTTGATTTGGTCAGCAAATTGCTGACTCAGGCAGTTGAACCGGTCTAACCATTCGAACTATTCAGTGGTTTTGACCGTTTTTTATTTTTTTGTAATTTTTTTATTTTTTTGACAGAATGGGTCATCCATTCGGTTTGAATGATCAAACTGTTTGACCCAAGAATCGAACCCTTGAACAATTTGTTGCCCAGGTCGGTTTTAAAAGCCTTGGAAACAACATCTGAAGGTGCCTTCACTCAACGAAAAATTTTCTTTACAATCCATTTCAGATCTTGTGAGATTTAATATTTTCCCACCAATTGCAATCTCAAATCTGATTAGATCTATTTGTTTTCCCTCAGTTTAGGTTTTCTTTTTTTTTTATTTCAGATCTCATGTCTCGTTCAAAGCAAGACCAGATTTGCTGCAAATGATCAAACGGTGAAGGCAGTGACTAAGGAAATAATGGTCCATTATTGTGTTTTTCCTCTGAGAGGGTAAAAAATGCCTCTTCATGTTTGGATTTATCTTTTCTTATATCAAATCTAAGGCATATGAGGTTCTGATGGTG